ATACACTCTAAAAAATAATACAGAATTCTGTATCAAATTTGATACAGAATTCTGTATCAGGCTCTTGTGATGTGGAAACATGTAACAGGGGTACAAAATTCTGTAATCTGATCAAAATGTTACAAAATACCGTAAATGTTACTAATTTCTGTAACAGATAGAAGATCAAGTAACGGTAGATACAATTTTCTGTAACCCTGGATACAGAATTATGGAACTTCGTTGGCACGGTCTCCGGGAGCCCCGGTGGCATTACACCGGGTTCCAGCGACCCTCTCCTCAGGTAGCCTGGGTGGCCGCGCGGGTAAAGGCGCGACTTCCTGATCCAAGGGTCTGGGGTTCAACTCCCGGTGCGGCAAGGTACATTACGTAAAAAAAAAATCGAAGGAGTTAAGTCCCCTAGAAAAAAAGAAGAGGGGGAAAGGGAGGAAGAGTAACAAAATGAAGAATTACAATTTTAAAATCCCAAAGATGTTCTGTATCAGGTGATACAGATTTTCGTATCCATGTTACAGATTAAAATCTGTATCAAAAATGATACAAATTTCTGTATCATGTGATATGTAAATTACTGCGTAACAATGTTACAGAATTTTGTATTGATTTTTTTTAGAGTGTACACCGCACACAACACCACACTCTCTCACGCAGAACACGCGCGCACCTATTGCGCCGGCATAAATTCTTTGGGGGGTGTTTGGAAGAAGGGAAGGGGTGAGGATGGGGGGGGGGATACTCCTATTATAATTACAAGTACCCATATGGAATGCATTTTTTTTCTAGAAGCATGATGTCATTAACTTTTAGTATTAATAACAATTGCGAGTGGAAATAATGTCGGGTGTTTACTGCGGGTGTCCGAGCGTGAAAACGAGTGCGCTGTGAACACTGTACACACACACACCGCCACCGTGATGCGCAGGTGAAGCCCTATCCCCCCGGGGGTTGGTTAACTTATCGCGACTCGTCATTGGTCGGCCGTGACCGCCGCCGTGTCCCCCTCGCGGCCCCCCTTGCTCCAATCAGATTGCGGCCGATGCACCGCCGGATCAGATGTCGCGCGCGCGCGCGGCGGTGCCGTTGTCCTGCGGCAGCAAGTACCTCCGCCGTGTGCCCTGCTTTGCCCTCAACGACGGTGCAACGGTAAACGTAATAAAGTGACACGAACAAAAAAAAACTGTTAAATGACAAAACGGCAAAAAGTGTGGATGTAAAAAGGGGACTTCGTAAAAACGGCAACAATTAAGCGAGGATAAAGCGTACGGAAAATGGGAGGGAAAACGATGAAAGTTGATCAAATGTTGAAAAGCTTATGGTACACACCTCGAGCAGCTCGAACCAGTCCTCGAGGCCGTGGGCGGCCCTGAGCAGCACGCGCGGCCTGTCCCTGGTGCTGAGGGCCACCACGCTGTAGCTGCGCCTGTTCACCCACTCCACGGCGTCCAGGTCCACCAGCCGGATCTGCGGGAGGCAGGGACACAGACAACCATTACACGCACGCTCAAAACAAACAGACAAGGGGGACAAACAACACAAATAATGTAATTTTGCGGTAAGAAATAAACTTCGTTCTTTAGATTGAATTATCGCCCATGTTGCGATCAGACCAGAAAGTGCGCCCGTCATTCTGCTGTTACAAATACTACCCAACGTTCATCCAAGGCAAGGTCACATGGCGCCTGTTGGGTAGGCAACATCTCGCCTTTAGCGCACGCGTGTACTGCGGGGCGGCCTACCCTGGGTCTTGCAGGCGCCATACACACTTCTATTCTCACTTTCCAAAGTAATTCGACTTCTTTTTATCAACGTAAACCGCAATTAAATCAGTATATCAAATCCAAACGTTAAATGTGCGATATTTTTTCGGCCGCGAACGTGCCGTTGCACCGGGCCACATCGTGTAGTCCAGGCCGTTTGACTGGAGTCTCCGGCACGAGCGGGCGCCGCATTTGGGCAGCAACGTGACCATTGTCCCCATTTTTTCGCGCCGCCCTAAAGGAGAGCGGCGTGGAGTGGAGCCGGCGCCGCACCGCGCGGGACGATCGCATTGTTCGGGGCGATCGCGTCACGTGATCAGCCAACCTCCCCCTTATCCTGCTTCGGCGGCTTATTAAACCAGCACGGAGGGAGAGAGAGAGAGAGGGAGTGAGTAAGAGAGTGAGTGAGAGAGAGAGAGAGAGAGAGAGAGAGAGAGGGAGAGAGAGAGGGCGGGGCATAGGGAGAGCGAGAGGCATAGGGAGAGAGAGAGGGAGAGAGACAGAGGAAGAGAGCGAGAGAGGGAGAGAGCGAGAGAGGGAGAGAGCGAGAGAGGGAGAGAGCGAGAGAGACAGACAGACAGAGAGGAAGAAAGAGACAGAGAGAGAGAGCGACAGAAGAGAGGCGGTCATTTTCGAACGCGGGACAACGCGGGACAACGCGGCACCAAGCCGAGCAGCGCGCGCGCGCCGTGCCCCGCTGCCCCGGCCGGCGCCGGCCATACAATAGGGGCGGAGCGCGAAGCGGCGTGGAGCGCGGCCCTTGTGCCTTCGGCTTTGCCATCGGGTTGCCTTTGGCACAGCGTGAGAAAGCGGCGGCCCGGCCCGCGGGCTGCTTGGCAGTGCAGCGCTCGCGCGGGCAATTACTGGAAGGAGGGGAGGGGGAGGGGGGCGGGTATGTAAGCACGAGTACGTTTACGCACACGACCCGCGTCTCCCCTCTCTATCCTAGCTGCCTTCGCTGCTGCTGCTGCTGCTCGCCCCGCTGTGTGGACATGGCCTTTTAGAACAAACTATGCGATACGTCTAGTACGACGACGGTTGTTGTATGTCACTTTTCTTGATTGCCATGCAGCAGCGTATCTCGAGCGGGGAGTGGGGTGAACATCATCATCGCAGACTGACTATTTTGACACTCAAAATACTTGTTTCCGCCGGCGGAGAGAGGACGTTTTTGGTCCTCGGTATGGCGAGGCGCCTGCGGCCGCGGGGGGTAGGCCTCCCGCCCAACGCGCGTGCATTGCAGCGCGCAGGTTGCCTACCAGCCGGGCGGTCTCACGGCGGCGGCAACGGGCCGTCCGGCCGGGCAGCCAGCGAGCCGGGATGGGGAGGGAAGGGGGGGACGATTACCGTAGCGCTGGTCCGGCCTCGTCCAGGACGTGCAGTGCATCAAACCGTGCAGCCCGTATGCTCCCCCCCCCCCTTCCCCCCTCCCACGACCTCCTCTGCCATCCATCTGCAGACGGCTGCATCCTTGCAAAACGTCCGGTATGGCGAGCGCGGCCCGCCCGCCCGCCGCCTGCTGGAGGAGCCGAGTGGCGCCTCGTCTGCTGTTCGCGAGGGTGCTGCTGGGAGACTGGCTGCTCTATGCGACATGCTCTGCGCCGTCGCTCTATGCTATGCCCGTATTCGCTCACCTTGAAGATGAAGTGCCCCATCTGCGACAGGCCGTCGCCGGCCGCGCGCCGCTTGAAGCAGTGCAGGTAGTCGCTGGTCAGCACGAAGTAGCGCTCCTTCCAGCGGCTCCACAGGCGCTCGCGCTGCTGCCAGAGGACGCCGCGCTTGATGGCCGGCAGAGCCTGCAAAGAAGGAGGACAAGAGGGCGTCAAGTATAGACAAATACAAAAAACATTTACCACAAAAAATATTTAAAAAAACGGACAGATTAGAAGTACAAAGAAGGTAGGATTTGTATGTGCTCTCTTTTTATTAGAAAGGGAATTTCAAAAACAATCTGATAAACCGGTGCTCTTTGAGAGAAGTGACAGTGTCGGTAGAGATGTCAGCCCGGAGAACAAGAGTGCTGGCATCAGCTGGAGTGAAAGAAGGTGTCGGGGCGCAGGTGGTAGTTATGTCGGCTTTGGACAGGCATTATGATGAGTGATGAGTGTGTGAGGTGCCCGTCAGCTCGCCCCGCCCCGCCCGGCCCCGCCCCGGCCTGCTCGTGCCCAGGCGCTCAAAGGACCCTGCCACTGTGCCCCGCCCCGAGGCCCGGCGCCCTCGCTCGACAGTGAAAGTGAGCAAGTTGTACTACCTCTCGGTGCGCTCCGGCGGGGCAGGGCGGGGCGGGGCGGGGTGGAGAGACAGCGGTGCGCGGCAGCCGGCGGTAGCCGGCGGCCACGGCGGCGGCGACGACGACGGTGGTATTCGACATTGTCAGGGAGGACGACGATCACGGCGACGATAACGGGCGAGCATGAGGAGGCATTATCGCGATAACAATCAGGATAACGACGGACACGGTGGCGGCCGGGAGCACCGCGCAGGGACTGTTATTGCAAAACCACGTCGTTGTCGTCGCCGCCGCGATGGCGTGGCAGGGCGGGGC